ATGTAGCCTCTCAATAATGATAATATTCACTATTAAACAGCCTGGACAAATCCAGGATAGGACAAGTGCTATTCACCTTATTCCTCTGGTCACCTTACAAACCATGACATGGCCACATGTAGTCTGGGTTGGAAAGCCTTGGGCTAAATGGACCATATAAGGTACCCTCTCTTGTATTCCAAAGCAAAGGAGTGGATTGTATGTTTTAATGCATGTAAAACTAGGCCATGAACAACTTTCCCATTCAAGCTCCCGGTCCTCTTCTGAAACCTTCTATAAGTCTAGTGCAGTTCCTTTATCAATATCTGAGAACAGGGCATCCTCTTTTTTCTTTCCTGGGCTTTAGTCAATTGCAGTCTCTGCTCATTTTTCAGTGGATTTCTACTTTGTATATTCATAAGAAGACTCTCAGTTAGGCTCATTTTCTCCTTTTCAAGATTATCTGTACTTTGTCCTAAAATCTTCCCAAAGCACTATTTGGAAAAATGTCTGGAAGTGTAATAATAATCAAAAAAAGAAAATAAAAGGCTGTTTGTAAATTTGTGTTGTAGATTATATAAGCAGAACAATTTTAGAAGCACTAGGAGAATTAGCACGAAAACCCCAAGTAAAACGCGAAGGTTGAAAGAAAAATTGAGAGTAGGGATGTTTTGTCCTGTTCTGGACTCATTTCTCAGAAGGAAAGAACCTGTGGAAGAAAAAAAATAAACATAGTTGAAGCAATTCCCTTGTGAGAGCTGGGATACAGCTAGGTGAAGTTCAGACAGCTCTAATGAGAGACATTTTACAAGGTCTGTAGATAGGTAGTTATGGAGCTTTGTATATGTCAAGAACGTTAATATAACTACAGGCTAGACTGACAAATGAAATGAACCACAGTTTTGAAAGCACCTTTGGAACTGACTTGTATTCACCTGTCAATGGGGAGAGTAAAGCTGAGTGGATATGTTGTGGCTGGACCCAGGACTTCTTGTTAGTATCAGAGGGAGAGAGAAGCTAATATACACATGGCTGCACTGAGGACTTCCTGTTAGTGTTAGAGGGAGAGTAAAGCTGAGTGGATACATCATGGCTACACCCAGGACTTTCCTACTAGTGTCAGAGGGAGACCTATCTCCTGTCCCTCCATGTTCTTTGTTGGCATGGGATAACAACAACAAAATATCAGTTGACTTCCTGGTTCCAGGGTGGCTAGGAAATTAGAACTGCAATATAACTGATCTTTAAGTAAAAGAAGAGAAGGCTTTTGAGTTGGGAAACATTGTATTTATTAGCGACTTTTCCTAGCTTCTGATACAGTCCACTGGTTTTCATTTATTAGACGATTATTTAGGGCACATTGGAAAATGAAATAGTTGTAATACACAGTTTAATTAAAAATGTCACCTTTTCACTTGATGAAAGTGATGCTACTGTTAAATTGTAGCTGTTAACATCTTCTTAGTGAGACTTACCAGACAGGAGACAGTCAGTATTCAATTGCTGTCTGATGAACCAAAAAGGAAAAAAAAGTATGTAATTTGAGGGAAAGAGAGCACATAGTATTATTATAAGAAGAGAAATGAGGAGAGACAGGGGGTCCTGGCAAAAGGGAAGGTAAAGGAAGGAGGAGACAAAAAGATTCAGTCTTTCCAGTATATTTGAGTAATATATGGGAATCCTGACTCCAGCTTTGGATTTGAAGTTCGGCTAATTTTGTTCACTTTGCCCTCATGTTAGTCTGTGCTTTCTGCTTAGAGCAGTAGCTTTGGCTGAGTACAACCGATGTATAATAAATTTGTGATAGTTAACATACATAATTAGATGAGTCTAGATACATGTATGTACAAGTAAAAAACCATCACAACAATTAAAATGATACTACACTGATGATCTCCCTTTTATTTCTTTTGATATTTTGCAATCTCTTCTCTCCATTTTCCTACTCCCTTGCTTATCCTAGGAAACATGTTCTGGTGAGGTTTCACATTGATTTCCAGAATTTTGTATAAATCAAACTGTACCATATATCACCTTTTTCGCCTTCTTTTTTCCCACATAACAATTATTTTTAGGACCATTATGCCACAGAATGCACTTTCAGATCCTTTTATCTGTGATTTGAAATACAAATCAAAGTTAATGCTTTGCATGCAGAAACCCAGTTATTCTGGCAAAGCATGCTGGGAGAACAGTCCTTTTCAGCTGAGCTATCTCAGTGTGTTTGCCAAGCTCTGCTTGTGTCTTTATGTGTAGGTGTGTTTCTAAACTGTTCTGTCCTGTTGGCTTTCCTCTTTACACCAGTATCACCATTTTTACTGCCACGGCTTTGCGATAATTCTTGCAGCAAGGTAATTTTTCCCCCTGAAACTTTATCCTTGTCTAATGGCATTTTGGGCTCTAATACAGTTTTTCCTCTGCATTTTGATGTGAAGTTAAGAAACGGTCTGACAGTTTCTGTGAAAAAAAATCTGCTGGAATTTTTATTTTGAAAACTCATTTAGAGATTAATTTGCTTACTATCTTAACTATTTTCCTACTCACGGATGCAGTGTTGTTAGTTTATATTAGCAAAGCTTTATTAATTTTCAATTTTTCATACATTTCATTATAAATAGTTCAAATGTGATTTGAGTGCTACCATGAATCTATGAATAGGTTCATTTCCTCCATTAACTTAATGGCCATTTGGCTTTATTTCAACATATAGAAATGCAATGATTTTGAATATTCATCTTATATTTGACAAACTTTCAAAAGTTACTTCTTAGATTTAGAACATTTTATTTCCAAAACTGTCTTGCATATGTATGTACGTGTGTGTGTGTTTGTGTGTCTGCTTGTGTGTGTATTTCATGTCATTTCATGTCACCTGCAGATAGAGTGAATTTTATGACATTCACCCTGACCTGAGTGACTTCAGAATGATTTTTCTTGTCTGATTGTGTTGACCACCATTTCCAGCGGAAGTGAACCTAAGAACTGAGAGTAGGCCTCCTTCTTTTATTCTGTTCCTGGTCTTAGGGAGAATGCTTTTACTCATTCAGAGTTAGCCTTGCTGTTTTCTGAGGGCCAACAGTGTCTGTTGGCTGACTTGAAAATCGAAAATAGAACTATATGTTTCTTCCATACTTTGTGTGTTTATCTGCATCCCTTCTGTTCTGCTTTCAAATTGCCTGAATTTTATTTTAATACACTTACTTAAAAAACTACCTCAGCTGGGCAGTGGTGGTGCATGCCTTTAATCCCAGCACTTGAGAGGCAGAGGCAGGTGGGTCTCTGTGAGTTTGAGACCAGCCTGGTCTACAAGAGCTAATTCAAGGACAACCTCCAAAGCCACAGAGAAACCCTGCCTCAAAAAACCCAGAAAAATATACTAGTTTCAGTTTCTTGAATAGAAACTACTAACACATATTATAATTGTCACACAGTATTAGGACCTAGTAGGAAGAGAAAAACATTATATTTTAGTAGCTACTTTAGATGTGGAGGCATTTTTGCAGGCACCTTACAAGGCATACTCAACAAGCAAGGAAAACACAAAGACACTTTTTCCAACTAAACATTTTTCTTTATGTAACTGATTCTTCAAATGAGAAGAAAAGGTGGCTTCCTATTATAATTCATATTATAATTATTATCTCTCAAGTAACATTAAAAACCCATTGTTGATGTGCTGGTTATTAGTTCCACAGCTGAGAACCACTAGACCTTAAGCAGATTTGAAAACGCTTGTTCATCACAAATGCCAGAGGGCTCAGGTAGTTCCAGGCATTGATTGTGGGTGTCCCTAACCCTGACAGTAAGATTCACTACAAAAGAAACCGAATATTTGGTCTGGGATAATCACATGTTTTTAAGTTCCCAAGGTCATGCCAACGATTAGGCAGTGTAGTATGTCTCTGTTTGTATGGCAGGAGGCTATGGCAGCGGTGGTGAAGACTTGGAGTGGGCAGGTGGGAGTCAAACAGACAGTCTGACCTGGAAGTATCACGGAATAATTAATATCATGATAATTTGCCATTTTAGAGCTAGAGTGTGTTCACCGGTTAAAGCAGTTGGACTTTTTCGTGACAACCTGGCTGAGTCTTTCTTTCATTCACTGCACTCATGAATTCTCTGCTTCAGATCCTCCTTTGGTTTCGAAGCGATGTGATCGCCTCTTAACAATCAGACCCTTAGACGTGTAGTTCAAGAATGCATTCTGACAGCACCAAGATCCATCTTCACAGCCTTCCTCACTGTTTCGCAAGAGAAATGTGAAGTGTCTTTTTGAGAGAGCTTTAACACAATTACTACCCATAAATAGTTCCAGAGAAGAGATTCACAGTGACCTTGACAGCAAGTGTTTCAAGCCTACTACTCCCTTCTACAATGGGAGCATGCACATGTAAATAAATATTGTGAGCAAAGCATTGGACTAGGGATCAATTCTCCTGTTTATCCACTGTCTGTGTGCTGTCTCAGGAGCTATTCAGAGTAAGTTTCCTACGTGGTGTCCACCGTCTTCCAAGATGTGTTGGCTCTCTTTGTCACCCTTGTCTCTTTGTCACCTTGGTCTCTTGACTTCATCTAGAAAAGGGAAAGACAAGAATTAAAAACAAACCAAACCAAAAAAAAACAAACAAACAAACAAAAAAAACAAAACCCCACAGATCTTCCAATTTACTTAGTAGAAATACGGAGCTTGAGAAAGAACTTCAAATCTTGCTTAAATTAGGACAGCGAAAGGGAAGATAGCGGGGAGATTATTTTCTAATCCACTCCTCGAGGAACTGACTGATTGGGTTAGGCCGTGGGGGTGAGAGCTTTCTTTTTTCACAATGGGCCTTTCAGTCCCATCAGGACAGTGTCTAATCTCTCCCATAGGTCACCTCCCAGAAAGTTCCCACTCTCCGCCCCAGGCCCTCCCCTGGCCTTCTCCCTTGGCCAGCTAACAGGGTGGGCGGGGTGGCCTCTCCAGCCTGCCCCTCCTGGGCTCAGGAGAGTGGCAGAGCTCGGGACAACTACCCCAGCGCCTGAACTCTGTGTCTCACTACAGGTTCAGGAGGGACACAGCGGTTTCCTGCTGTAGGCCAGGAGAGTAAACTCGGTGTGCGGAGCTGGACAGAGGGACCTAGGCGGGTTCGCAACCTGCAACCCCACGTGTAAAGCTCTAGGCAGTGCCCTTGCTACTCCTCAGAGGTGACTTCTCAGAATGGAGCAGTTTCCTTTAGGCCGTAGGGACCGCAGCGGCGGCTGCCGACCTCACCTGGCCTCGGGACTGCGGGCCGCTCCATCCGCTTCGCCCGCGCGGCCGGTGCCGTCGGGGATCCCGGTGTCCGCGGCTTTTCTACGGCCGCCCGGCCTATTCCTGCGATCGGCTGCCAGCGCGGGTCGGGGAGGATGCGCTCCCGGCCCGGGGTTGGATGGGGCGCTGGGGGCGGTGGGCTGCGGCTACGCGCGGACCCCGAAGTGTGCCCGCTGTCGCAACCACGGCGTGGTGTCCGCGCTCAAGGGCCACAAGCGCTTCTGCCGCTGGCGGGACTGCACGTGTGCCAAGTGCACTTTGATCGCAGAGCGCCAGCGCGTCATGGCCGCGCAGGTGGCGCTGCGCAGGCAGCAGGCGCAGGAGGAGAGCGAGGGCGGTGGGCTGCACCGTCTCCTGTGCCCTGGGCCTTCGGGGTCCGGGGCTCAGGCGTCGGGGACCAGCGGCAGAAACGAGAGTCCCCAGGCCCTGCTCAGGTCTGAGGCTATGGCTGTGCTGGGAGCGGGTGCTTCAAGGCACGCCAGGAGCCAGGCGCTCCCCACTTTCCAGGTTTTCCAGCAAGATTATGCCGAGGGAAAGCAGGGTGAGTCCGATTTGGTTTGATTTTTCGTGGGAGAAAATGCTTTGAAATGAACAGCAGCTCCTTACAGGTGGGCATGTTTGAAAGACGCCACGAAGTTCAGGGATGGGGTTAGAAGGGGGAATAGGACTTAAGCTTTCAGAAACAGAAGAGCTGTTTGTTTCCCTGCTGATAGAGAACTATAATGAAAAAGTGACATGTGGGTGATCACATCCGCAGGCTCACCCTGGGAATGGATTGAGACGCAGTCTGCCAGGACTTTGTGTGGGCAGAACTTAAGAGGGGCTTGAGAGGATCTTACCCAGTGTGCTGGCACTCTTTACAGCTGTGAAAACCACCGCGGCCTTCTGATCTTGCACAGGAAACCGGTTGGCTGTGGTTATTATGAAGTTCTTTGCTTTGGGGACAAAGTTTTCTCACCAGCTAAAACTTAGAAAGAAACTGAAATTACTCACCTGCTTCTCCCCGCCCCCTCCCCCATCCTCTTCTAATTCTTTAAGCACAGTTCTCAAAGGCATGGAGAGCTTTAAGATCTGCAGTTTAGTTTCCATTGGAAATGAGCTTAGTCTTCCAGATAGCAAAAGCAGATAGCAAGAATGCCAGTTTACAGCCGGAGAAATCTCATCGGACTAGTTGTCGTATTTTGCCTTGCAGTTTCTGGCAACAGTATCTCCTAAGGACCCTGAATTAACCTTTTTCCTGCAATGTTAATGTCTGTGAATTTCACAACCTTCCACAAGGCCCATGAGCCTGGAATATTTCATTTTAATCTTTTTGATAAAAGTCCCAAGCAGGTTGTACCGTACGAACTTATTTTATAACCGGGCGGTAAGTTATTAATTAGAGAGTTTCCTTGGTTGTGAAAATTGCAGATCTTAGCAAAACAGAGTGTAATTTCGAAAGAAGACCGTCTCTGCGTTGAAACTTTGCGTTCACTTACGTCAGCTTTTGACACATGCTCTAGATTATTTCAATAGACCAATAGACTTTAACAATACCGCCACCAAAAAGAAGCAAATGCCACCGTTCCTTCAGCTAGGCTGGAAATGAGATTGGTTGGTGGTTGGGTTTATGCAATCATTGGTACTAAAGCGTTCATTATACAGGCCTGATGATTTGTTAGATTATTCTGTCACTTATAAAAAGCAAACCTGTATTTCAAAGGTTTCTTCTTTGGCTTTCTAAATTGACTACCTTGTCTTACACAAGATGCATAAACTATACTAAGATATTGTATTGAACTTATTCATTCACAAAACAAAGACCTACAGTGATTCAGGGATTTCCCTATGTAAGAAAATCTTGAGTTCCAAAGAAGAAAGGGTATCAAGGATCTAAAACTACAACAGTGAATAAAAAAAATCTTCAGAGGTTGAGAGCATAGAGATGAAAGGAATTATACCAAGTATTTAAAAGAAACCTTATTTTCCAAATAGTCACATGCAACCAGTATTCCTCCCGCCCTCCTTTGTGTTTGTTTTGAGACAGGATTTCATATTTATATCCCAGGATGACCTAGAACTATGTAGCTTAGGCTGCCCTCAAGCTCCTGGCCATCTTACCTCAGCCTCCTGAGTACTGGGATCCCAGATGTGTGCCCTCACACGCAGCTTGCAGCCAATATTTCTTTACATGTATTTGTCCTGGAGTCCCACCTAAAAGTAATAAATTATCTTTAGACAAAATGGAAGAGATGTAACTTTGATACTAATGTGTTTCAGGAACAATTTTCAGTGAATCACATTTATAAGCAAGTGGAACAAAAGAACCATGAAAACTTATTTCCATGTGGCCAATTAAAAAAATACCAGTATACAATCTTACAAAAGTCACAACTTTGCTTTCATCTAATAGTTGGAGCACTGACAGCGTTTTGACCCCTGTAGTGCTAAATTAGACACTATTTACATTTTAAGTAGACCATAGACTATTATGGACAATGTTTAGGATGATTTCTTCAAGACATAGGGAAACGTCAAAGAATACTGCGGATTGTCATTCTTTTTTTAATTTATTATTATGCTACCATTAAAAATGTGGTAGAGACAGGGAGTTTGGGAGAAGTACTGTTGAAAGTCTTGGACAGTTTTACCTTTTCAGAGTTAAAGTATATGTAAATGACAAAAGGAAATGAAAAGGCAGATAGCATTATGTGTGTGTGTGTGTGTGTGTGTGTGTGTGTACACTGTTATTAGTTTTCTGGTATTAGCTTGCCAGTATAGAACTGAAATATTCTTGTTTTATTCTTATGCTCAATATGTTGAGATTGAAAAATACATTTTTAAAGAAAATTTCCCTTAATATTGAAATGGGGGGTTGTAATAGGTAATAAATATCTTAATAAATTGTGTCTATAGTGTCCCTGCAGATTATAGTCATGAAGTTTGTAATTTTCTATTAGAAGTTGTTTTTAAAAATCTTTTCTTAACAGTTTGTGTAGACTGAAATAGAAAATGTATCTTTCACCAAGAGTTAGAAAAATAGTGTTTTATTATTAACTCTCTCATAAAATGAAGCACCCAGGTCTCATGCAATTTGAGATTGATGCTCCAGGAAGATTACTGCTTTGTTTTGAAACTGTTTACAGCCACATCACCCTGAAGGCAACTGGTCTCATCTGAAATACCACTGGCAGTTTATTTCCCCATATTATTCAGGTTACTCAACAAACTTTAATTGTGAGTGTTAAAAGCACTTATTGAAAGTTAGCATCAAGGCTTAAATAGAATATTCTTCTTTAAGATAAGCTTTTTCTTTTTAATGAGTTTGTATCCACAACTTTCTGTTTAACTTAGTTCTTTATATAGAGAGTCTTCTTGGGAAAAAAAAAAGAACTTCACTTCGACAAAAGCAAAACTTGATCTTTTTGGAAAATCTTTAATTCCAAGATGGTGACACATTGACACATTTGAATAACAACAACTCTCTTCTTTTGATCTCTTATGTCCTGAAATGCATGTGACAGCATTCTTGCTTTCTCTTTTTTAAAGATTTATTTATTTATTATGTATACAGTGTTCAGCGTTCTCTCCTGTCTAGCACATGTTAGTTCTGAGGAATCTTTAAAATGTGACTTTCATGAAGCTCTTTTTGCGTGAATCAAAATTGCTATGTATTTATATGTGTATATGTATATACACACATGCACATACATACATATGTATAATGAGCAAGTGAATTATTTCATCCATCACCATCTTTGAGTGGGCATTACTATGTTGTGGCAAACTTTTCATGTGGCTGATTATTTTCTGTTTTCTTTTCTGCAGAACCAAAAGAGAATAACTGTGGGTCATGCCAGAGTAGACATGAAGAACTAGTCTCCAACACCCACCACCGTTCAGTGGGATCATCTCCTAAGTGTAATGGTACCATCCAGAAACGGGGCTTTATGTCATCTATTTCAGAATACTCGGACAAACCCAACATAATCCAGTCTCCTTGCCCCACGGAGCAATCTGGAGGAGAAGACAGTCCCAGGTCCTTCTCTTCCTCTGATCTAGAATCAGGGAATGAGAGAGAGTGGATCAGAGACTACATTGCTACCAGAGCCAGCCTTTCGACGGTGACCTCAAGACCTCGAGACCCTCTCGGAATTCTTACCAGGATTTTTCCAGGTTACAGGCGTAGCCGCCTAGAAGGCATTCTACAGTTCTGTAAGGGAGATGTAGTCCAAGCCATTGAACACATTTTAAACGGGAAAGAACATAAACCAGACTGCAGGGACCCAGCACACGCAGACTTGGAAAATGCAGCCTTTCAGAGAGCTTCAGATTTTACTCTTGCTGGCATTGGCTTTGGAACTCTGGGTAATAAATCAGCTCTCTCTCCACTTGAAGCTGCGTCTGCTGTTTATGGAGGAGATTCAGGTCTCTACAGTTTCAATCCTAGACTAGCTTTCAGCCCACTGCGCCTGGCATATTCTCCAGGAAGAGCGCTGTCTGGCTTGGTGTCGCCCTACCTAACACCTGGGCTGGTTCCAGCATTGCCTTTTCGGCCAGCTTTGGATTATGCCTTTCCAGGGATGATTAGGGAGCCGTCCCATCTTCCCAGCAAGCACTTAATAACTGGTGGTAGACTGTATTTCAGGCCCAATCAGGAACATGTGTAACATACCAACTCCACCATTCTTTGGTGTTTCAGAAACCATCACACACACACACACACACACACACACACACACACACACACACACACACATATTGATGTTCGTCATTGAGTATAAAAGTGGCTTGCCAGCCTTAAATGCTATTTTTAAGCAATGTATAGACTTTAGACTTGAAGAGTTTTTTTTTGAGCATTTATTAAGGCTAAGAAACATTTGGACATTATATGTGCCTTGAATAAACCTATTTCAGGAAATAATCTTATTTTAAACTATTGATTTTTCTCCATAAATTATCATTTCTATTATAAAGACATACCTATTTTTATTTTATTGTAGAGCTGGGCTTATAGTTGTAAAAAAACTTGTAAAAACATCATATGATAGACAATGAACCAAGGGGAGATTAAAAACTGAGTTTAATTCTATGTGGGCATTGTTCTAAAACAACTCCCTCTCCTTCTCCATGTCCCCCACCCCACCCCACCACCACAAGTGACCAGAAGTTATTTCAACATTTGGAGACAAATGTTCATTAGTAAGTAGATCCAATAAACTTGAATATATCATTTTTGGAATGTCTGACTTTCACTCTTTAGCTACTGTTTGTAAAAAGTTAAATGTTTTCAAACAATTCTCTTTAAAGCTAACATTGTAATTGCACAAAGTAGGGAGTCCTAAGAAACAAGACTCTGCCCTCTTTTGGCCACTATCACAAACTGCAACTTAGTTCTGAGGAAATTAGAAACTCCAGCTTTTCTGTTACAGGCGAACAAGTTTATGAAATAACCATTTTGGATCACGCTGCATTCAGCTTTCATGTGAAATAAATTTCTATGGAAGGTGATTTTAAGTTTTGAGTATCTTATGCTTGTATCTGGGGAAAACAGTCCTTTTTATTTGCTTGAGATATTATGTTACACATTCTCATAGGTTAAAAAAGTTATTAAGAATTCTAAATATCTGCTTAGACAAATATCTACTGATTTTGTATGAAGTGTATTTAATGCACTTCGGAGAGACAAAAATTTCAAAGGTCAGTAACTACCTTTGAAATTCAGAGCTGTTGTGGAGTCTTTAGACATATATTTCATTCTCCACCTGGAGAATTTAAAAGACATATATCAAGCTGTTATTTCAGTCACTGGGAAGTACAGGAAAACTGCTCACAAAACATCTGTACAAAGTCTTCATCATATGTCATCACTTTTAAAAGACCAATAGCTGTATTGTTATTGTAAGGAATAGTGAAAACCCAGATGTGATAGGAATTAGAGGTATCTTAATCTGGGGAGTAGGACTTACCAGAAGTTTCTTTCTTTATGTTTGTGTGTGTTTCTCATGAGGCTGATGAGGTTTTTCACGGTGTATTTTACCTACAAATATCATAATACACTACGGGAGACTTTCTGGTGATGATTTAGAATGCAAATTTGTTTAATGATATGCATTAATTTTAATGTGACAGGGTATGAGCAAAAGTCCTGTAAAATTTAGAGGGATGCAATATTAATTTTTTGATATAAAACAAAAATCAAGAAACCTTTCAGACTCAGAGCCTAAATCACTGCAATGCTTGGCAACTAATTGGTATGCAGTCAACACACAGTGAGATAAGAATGATTTTGGATAGGGAATCTTTCAACCAAAGAATTCTACAAAGTGGCCTATTGACACACAGTTTTGAATAGAATTTCATGAGGTTGTCTGTCTCTTGAATATTGCTCTGATCAGGATTCTTGATGCTCCTTGAGTTGTTTCTATTGTTTGAATTTATTACATTCTACTTTTGAGATAAACTACAGGGTGTCAAACGCAGAATATGATGTTGTAAAGAGAGTTACAGTAAACAGCAGAGAGCTAGATTGAAAGAACAGTAATTCTAGTGTTGCTGGATTCTTCATAAGGTTAACATGATCACGCAGGACATACTAATTTAACAATATAAATATGAAGTTAATTTCCATGATGCTTCATATAGTCTACTCTTCCTAAGACTCTGAAGACCTAAATAACTTTACAAAATATGTAATTCTTCCTATTTATAGCTAGACAACGAGGAAACTGAAACTCAGCTCTGGTACTACCAGTAGCAAGGGTTACTAGGAGTGGTTTCTTACTTTAGAATGTAGGGATCGAGGAAGGACTAAGAGACAAGCCAGTCTCAAGTTCCTCACAGTAGGTTTTCCCATATGTTCTAAGAACAATCAACCAATCTGCTAAGGTTGGCACCATTTGACAATGTTGGTTTGTCAATGAGTTAGTTATAATCATGACATTTATGCCTATAAACTACTAGAGGCTTTGGCACTTAACTTGCTATTAAGGAGTTAGGAAGATGATGGTTGAACACAGTAGATACAAACTGAACTGTCTCTACTCCATGTGTTGTAGAAGTCAGAGACATTAACAGTTCTACGGAGAGAATTCAGAAGAAAAGGGAGTGGTTTTTTCACAGTTAGTGATCACCTAATGTAGCATAATGTTTCCATTGAGATTACTGTATAGAGAACACTAGGGGCCTTGCTGATAGGTTTTTCATTGTTGCCTCAGCATTGGGATGGAATCATTTACCAGCTATCCACAAACATGGGAACGATTTGTTAAATAAATGAATGAACAAGTTCCAATTCTAAGACCACAATAATGAAAGTGTGCAGATATTATTTGTCAATAAACATTGTTCGTGACAAATATATCTATGTGAAAACCTCCCAGTAGAATGTAAAAAGGAGGGGGCAGAACATAGTGTGGCTAACAAGGGATTCAGGGTGGAGTTTGGTTAAGACACATGTTCCAGAAAGAAGAGGACTCAGATAGGAGACTGGAGAGCCCTGGAGACAAACATGGATAGACTGTTTATGAAGTATATAGCCATATGTCTTCCTAGAAGGATTGCTTACTTTACTGTTGAGATGGGTGTTGTGGTGGGCATCTGTTTCTTCTCAGTAAAACAAGGATAGTAATATTTAACATGCAAGATTCATGGAGACAAGAAGTAGCTCGAATAAACTGCAGAGTATAGTAATGCTTATACCCTGGTATTAGGTAAACAATTCTCACTGTTACTGCTTTGTATTAAGATATTATCTTTGCCCCCTGGTGGCAGTGGCTCAACACAGAGCTCTGTAATTGTGCTTAATCCACTTAGTGGATATAGAACTGAAGAGCGGTTATTACCAGCAAATATCCAGGCTTAGATCCAGGCTTCCTGTTTGGTTTTCATGCCATGGTGAGCATATGATTGTGTGTGTACTTCGGAATCTTTTAAGGACCTGAAGGAAGTGACCAACACAACTACTACAGCTCTGTGTTCATACTACCTTTAATTGGTTAAGATTTGGTTAGGAAGACAGAGCCCTTGTAAGAGTACATGAAAAAATAAGGGAGTTACAGAACATTCTCCCAAGGGGGAATCTTGGAAACACATATTTTTGGAGGAAACTGGCAAATGTGGGAATGACTAACTGATCTGGCTAAAGCACTGTTTGGATAGACAAGTTGGAACTTTCCGAAAATGTTTGAAGTCTAGCGTGTCTCACCCTCACAGAGCTTTCAAGTGGGGCCAGAGTCTGAGCATCTGGGAACTCTCTGGGTCTTATGCAGACTTTAGATGGTGGGTCAGTGAGGTCAGCAGAGGGAAAGAAATGTGGTGTCAGGAAAAATGGGTCCAATCTAGAAACACATGTAGGTGCCCAAATTTGAAGACTCCTGTTTTGCCTATCCCTGACAAGCCTCACCCATAATTCCATAGAATGCTGGGTCAGCTTTCACTCTGAATGATATGGAAATGTAGTCCCTTATTTTAGGCAAGTTGAGCTTAGCACAGTGTACTCTTGTGTAGTCCTGGTCAACACAGCTTTTATAATCACTCATATCTGCCATGTTTCCTCCAAGTAATGGCTGCAAACAAACATCTTCCACCCGAAGCTGAGGTAATTATCCTCTTTTTTTATTTTATTTATTTTATTTTTTATTTTATTTTCCAGTTTAAATTTAGATAAGAAACAAAGTTGCTTCACAAGTCAGTTCCAGGTCCCTCTCACTTTCCCTCACTTCCTCCCTCCCGTGCCCTCCCCCCAACCCCCCCCCGTTATCCCCTCATTCCCCCAGGGAGGGTGAGGTCCTCCATGGGGGTGTCCATAGTCTGTAATTTCATATAAGGCAGGGCCTAGACCCTTCCCCAAAAGTTCAGGGTGAGAGTGCACCTCACATTGTTCTATGGGAGTCCAAAGTCCGTGTGTATACTTGGGATGGGTATTGATCTGCTGACCAAGGCTCAATGGATTACCTAGGCCTCCTCACTGACACCCAGATTCAGGGGGTAATTATCCTCTTGATGACGAAAGATCTTGCTGGAGGAGGACACTGACAAATCTGGGAATCTTCTTTTCTCTCAAGGAGGATACACCTATTCCACCTTTGAGACAAGGTGCTTAATTTTCCTTCATCTAGCCAAATACACATTTAAATATCCTATGAAATTAATCCCGAGATACAGTTTTTATTACTTTTTTGTTAGAGTAGAAGAGGACATTGCTATATAAGGATGATCCCTGATCCCAATGGGTCTTAGGCTGTTCCAGCTTCATGGGAGTACTAGCATATTAGGCATTCAGTGGCAGAGGTGGTGTTTTGAATTTTAATCTTTTCCCAGGTTAGTGATATGTTAACCTCTTGAGATGCTGAGTGATGACAGCTAGTTGTGGTTCCCAAGTCTGCCTCAAATGCTGTATGCCAAACACTCAATACACTACAGTTTTTCTAAACTATTGGGTTTAGTATTTTAGGTGTCAGATATATATTGGATTTATGATATTGTCAACATATAGTGGGTTTATTGTGATATATTTCACTGTAAGTCAAGGAGCATTAGTACTTACACATGCATGTATGCACATGGATTCACACACATACACACAAACATATCTAATACACACACACACACACACACACACAGTTTCTTTGAAGCAAGAAAGTAATAAACACTACTGTCTGCTACAGGCTGAACTGTAACTGGCCATGGGGTAATAGATTACATTTATAACTTCTTTCACTTTGTTCTGTTTCCTGCTGGTATATTAGTTAACAGTGGTTGCTTACTATAGACAGTAACCCAAATCCTCATTTCTGAAGAGTCTGCATCATTAACAGTTGTACTTACATAAGATTTTTGCAAGTCGTCATCAACTTATACAACAAAATATTGGGCCGGGCATTGCTGGTGCACACCTTTAATCCCAGCACTTGGGAGGCAGAGGCAGGCGGATCTCTGTGAGTATGAAGCCAGCTGTGGTCTACAGAGCGAGTTCCAGGACAGACTCCAAAGCAATACAGAGAAACCCTATCTGGAAAAACAAACAAACAAAAATATATTGGAAGAGTGAGCAGCTCTTTAGTGGAGTTTGTTCTTGTGGTTTCACTGTTGTTTTAAATGACCTATAGTGGTCTCCAGTTCCACAAAAATAATATTTTCTTACATCACAATTTCTCTTTTAGGAAGTAAGACCTAAAAACCAACAGAAGCCAAAAGTTGCAAAAACAAACACAGCAACAACAACAAAAACAACC